TATTTGAGTTTGATTCAATTCAATTCAATTCAATTTGAAAAAATCAAATCAAATTCAAATTACTTAAATATTTGATTTGATTTGATTTTGAGATGAGTTTATAAGTAACTTCAATATAAAAATTGTATGACTCTTTATTTTCTAGACATTTTTTAACATAAAAATCTAAAATTGGCATTCTATTTATGTTCCTTACAGATTGAGTTATAACATATAAGGTTTATATTAGTCAGAAGTATATTATTAAAATCCCAATATAAAATCTTTATAAATGTAGCATTGTTATCCAACTATTGATTAGGCGAACTGAAATATGTAATCAATTGAGTAGTAAGAAGATTTAGCTCAATCTTACGATAATTTTGAATTATGTTTGACTTCAGTTGACTTTAGTATATTTTTAAAATTAGCAAGAATAAAGAATTCCAATTCTTAATGGTGTAATCCTGTGTAACTCTCTCTAAGTAAATGTAACAGAATATAACTTATAAGGTATTTTATTTTTTTGAAAAAAATAGATCTTTTTTATTTATATGGGCAGGTTCTTTTTTATGAGGATTATATAAATCAAGTTAAGCTTTTAAGAAAATTTTGAATCTTTGCCTACAAAACTGGATTTTTTTTAAAAAACAACTATATAAAGAAATCGAGGTTGGTTAGTAACACCGAATCAGACAGGTAAAAATCATCGATCTTCTATATACTTTTAAAAAATTGTCACGCGTCCAAATCTCGACGAAAAAAACGTTCTACGATAACTATATATTTCAAAACCAAAGATGTTTTATGATTGCTATTAATTTTGCGAAATTTTTAATTCTACAAATATTTTTGCAAGGCAGGGAAGTGTTATTCCATTATAAGTTCAAATAAAATAATGAAACCTTAAATTTTGATAACATTATTTTATTTATTGAAAAAATATAACGTTAACTAATAAATACACAAAATTACTTATTGTACAAAGAATTTTTGAATTTTTTAATATTTTTATTTAAAATCCCGATCATGTCGATTTGGTATATTTAATAAATAATTATAATTCTTGACTCTTATAGGACGGATGTACAACATCGCCATCAAATCCTATTCCTTTTACTCGTTTCTTCCTATTCCATGCACCATCACCATACATTCCATCCCATTTTCTTAATTCCGTCAAACTTGACATATCTTCAGAACACGACGGTGTTACTTGTTTAAGCGCTGTTTGAAAATGATGTTGTCTTAAAATTCTAACTTGAGGTGATTGTCCTGAATTATCATTTGTTACATCATTATTACTTTTGTCTCTTTCGCTATTAGTTTTAGACTTTTCAACCTCAGCATCTTCACGAACCGCGGCAAGTGCCGCGCTTATACATAAATTTTTCAGATCTGATCCGGAATAGAGTTTTGTGATCTTAGCAAAGTTTTCCAATGATACTGAAGAATCAAGTTTTTCATCTCGTAGATGTAAGTTGAGTATCTGTTCACGATCTTTTTCAGTTGGCAAATCGACTATATCAATTATAATCCGTGCGTTAATAAATCTTTTGATAGATAAGAATATTCCCGCAACTAATGGAAACATTTTGTAACTTACCCAATATCCTCCTTGGCATTCTTCTTAAAATGGCATCATCTAGATCAAATGGTCTATTTGTCGCGCCCATGATCAAAACTCCTTCATTACGAGATGTTAACCCATCCCATTCTGCCATGAACTGATTGATGATTTCCCGATGTGCTCCATTATGAATGTCTGAACGCCTAGAACCAAAGATAGCATCCAATTCATCCAAAAAAATGACACATGGTGATAATTTACGAGCAAGAGAGAAAATTGCCTGTCAAATATAATGTTATTAGTCGGATAACAAAAGGGATTTCATATAAAGTGTAAAGTAGATTGAATTCGAATTCATACCCGGACATTCTTCTCACCTTCACCAACATACATGTCATATACATCACTAGATTTTATATCAATAACTGTACTACCACTTTCTTTGGCAACAGCTTTTGCAAGCATTGTTTTTCCAGTACCTGGTGGACCAAACAATAATACACCAGAAATAAAATGTTTACTCAAAACACCATAAGAAAATGATTGTGGTCGCATCAAAGGCAAAGTAATCAATGTCTGAAGGGTTTGAACGGTCGATTGAGCCACATGAATATCTGAGAATCCAACAGTAATGTTTTCTACAATAAAAAGATTTAATTAAAAACTCAATTATTCATTCCTTAAATAAATTTCATCCAATAATTTACCTGAATCCACGACACAGTTTAAAAGTTTTTTTTCATATTTATCTAAATCCTCTTTTTTTAAATTTTTTCTGTTTGTTAAATTAATTTTACCATCACCAATACCGACAATGCTAACCAATTTTTCGGGACCTTTACTTATGGCATCGTTATTTGTAGTGGCAGATTCAACGAAATCTTTTCGTAACTTTTGATTAGCCTTTAAAGTATTTGAAGCTTGAATAAGATGTTCAACGTCTAAATAAACTGGATCGTGTGATATTAAAATATTTTGACTAGAAAGGGCAATACCAATAGAATTCATTACCAAACGATGAATACGTTCAAATCCCCAAACATCATTATCTATACCTTCCAAAGGAGTAAGTAGGTTTGACAATTCTTTAATACTATTAATTTTAAAATATGCTCCTTTACTGGCACACATCGCCTTCAATGTGCGTACATTAATATGCCTTATTGCAACGTTCTTGTCTTTTGCTATCATTTTTTGTAACATTTGAGTACGTTCAAGCGAAGATGGTGGTGGAATAGCTATGTGAGTAAATGCAGCTAACAAGGCTGAATTAGGAAATATGTCAATGCTAACCCATTGAATTTCATGGGATGGTACGTTGGTGTTTGCTACAGACTTTTTATCCATAGCGAACAGTGATGGAGAATAACCCGCAATTATCATGATTTGATCTCCTAAATATCTTTGATTCTGTACAGCTTCAACAAGACCATTAATTAAAGCGGTACCAAAAGTTGATGGAACTAGATCCCCAATGTCACGAAAATATATTATTTTTGGGGATGATGATGATGAGTTTGATGATGAGGAAGGTGACGCTGTAACTAAAGCTTCAAAAAACCGTTCGACTTTGTCTAGGATAACCTTCATTTCTGCTCGTAAAGATCCATTGGCTTGAGATGAATTATATTGAAAATTGTCAACTAAAGGTTTATTTTCATAATTAGAATTACGGGATATTGAAGGTGACGATTCGAAACCTTCTTCTTCATCTATAAATACATCATCTTCCAGTTCATCATCAGAAGAGAATGAAGAAGTCGTTGAATAAGGAGATGCTGCAATATATGGATTAAAGCCCTTCAACTCGGGAAATAATGGCCACGGTGTTACTAAAAAGAATCATTTTTTTAAATGATCAAAAAAAAAAAAAATTGTGTTTTTTTTATTTTTTTTTTATTTATATTTTGCTTTTCAATTAATTTCATGATATAAAATTTGATCCATCAATATCATCTCACCATTACCCTTCCGAGAAAACATATTGGCTGTCAATTCCATTAAATCTTGTCGATCAAATGTTAATAAATCAGCATGTAACGATGCTGCGACACTTTTGACGATGGAGTCTAAGTAAAATGATGCACCTTCAATTGGACAATTTAATAATAAATGACCTCTTCTAGCAGGTACAGTATCTCCCTTTGGAATAGGTAACAGATTAGCGCGTGCGCTGAACAAAATTTCATCACGTATTCCATCATCCAAAGGGTATGGTATTGACTCAAAGGAATTAGTATTATCTTTTAATGATAAGTAGTTTTCCTTCAAAAATAATGGAGGTATTACTGGTTTATATGGGCTTATAGGTTTCCGCAATCGTGAACGTAGTTTAGGAAGTGAAGTACGTAATTTTCTTGGAGATCTAAGTAAATACTCTCCAACATTTTCTGTCGTTCCATTTTCTGGAGGTTGCGATGTACTTTCTTCCGATTGTCTACTTTCAATTTCCTCGTGATTGGACGTTGAAGTAGGTGTTTCCTTTGACGAATTCGAAGGAGATAGATTACTTTTATTATTGTTGTTGTTATCCTTGACGGGTTTTAGCGGTGAACTATTATTATTTGTTGAATCATTTGGTGAGTTTGAAAAAGTTCTTGGAACACTACTGTGAATAGATCTAAATGTAGTTACACGTTTACAAAATTTAATCGAACAAGCTGTTTTTCGTCTATTAACTATAAGTGCGCGTTGAAAGGCTCGACCGGTTAAATTTCCAAGCATTCTTGTCGATTGTTGAAATTATTCAAATTGTCAATTAAACATGATTAAATGTTCCTCGAATATTGTTACTCAACCATCAGTACTGCGCCATTCACACCGCAGTATCGCGTTTAATCAAATCAATCATGCGTAGTTTTCCATTTCATTTTCAATGAATAAATATTGATGTGACGATTTGCAGTCAAAAATATGTATGTGTATATGTATGTCTTGAAACAGAGTTAGTTATATCGTATCCCATATAGGTTTAAGTCCCAAAGTCAGGCCAAAACCTGATCCTCTGTTAACAACTTGAGTAAGATGTTCCTCATCCCGTTTGCATCTTCACCTTGCATAAATCACACCAAAAAGTCTTAAAACCACCCAGTTTGTCATCGATTTGTCCACAATGTCCACACGTCTTAGAAGAGTACTCCTCAGTACACTCAATGACCTTGCGATACTAGTATTCTTTTATCTTGATCGGATCTTTCTTTTATTCCTGAACACCATATGTGATGTTTCAAATTTGAGTAGCAAAATGATCTTGTAATTCTGACATAACCATCATGCCAGCTGGTGATGGCACTTATTTATCAAATTACCGATGCGTTGTATAATTCATAACATCTTTTTTTCAATCGAAATCTCTTTTTCTTATTTGTTCTTTCCAAAACAAGATCCTTGTCACCCTGTAATTTGTTACATTTCTTGGATAATTTGAATACTTTGTCAATACCACCGTTACTCCTCACTCAATTAATTGACTGTTAGGGTCATAACTGGTCATAAACGTGTGAACACCTGGATCTAACAAGATTACCTTTTCACAAACATCATCTTAATTGTCGATAATGTCCAAAGGAATGGAAACATACAAGTAAAAATGTCTCAGGTAATTCATAATTATGTTAACCATATTATTGATCTCTGGCGATCATTTTGAGGTGATGATACACTTTAAGAATGTGTATTGTCCTCTGATCCTATTCTAATCCCTAGTAAGGATTGAAATAGTTTGTGTTCGATCCTTCTTCGATCAGTACTTTATTCAAAAATTATTTCTATACAACTTATTGTTTGTTTATATACACTAATCAATTGTCAGATCACGTACGAACGTACCTCTCTAGGAGTCTTTTTTACCTATTCTTCAGATGCGAAACAGCACCATCTCAAAAACTTTATTATACGTTTATTTCACAATTTCCATCCACTTTCTTAGCTTTTCTCTTTCTTCAGACATTGGGTAAATCCATATCTTTCATGTTTTCAATTTCTCTTTGTCATTTCGATTCTCAGCTGATCTGAGCCCGTTGTGTCTTGCCATAAAAATAGTAATGATTGATAATATCGGCAAGCTCACCAGATTCAGTATCATCAATGTTAATATCTGAACTGAGTATCACAATCTTTGTATCATGCTTAATAAAGATCCATTTGATTAGTTTAAATGCGAAGTGGCAGAGCTGATCTTTGTGAATAACCACAACCTCCTCGATATCTCCTCAATACAACCATTCCAAAATGGACATAAAACCCTTACGTTTCCAGTTAAGACCTGACTTAATGTCCTTGATGAGTTAATGGTCTGGACAGGATTCTTTTCTTTTTATTTATCCTTTCTTGATTTCCAAATATCTTCTTCACATTTGCATCTGATATCCTGATATTCGATATTCTTGATTGTTCCACCTTCTTAATGTTTCATATGCTCTCAGATTTCTTCTCTTTACTATTATTTTCAAAAAAAAAAAAATTGATGTGAGTCAAACATGCGAAAACAGGACTTATTTATTTTGACAAAGAATATCAAATCATTGATAATAATGTAATGATGATGATTCAATATTCTTTAATCAGATACTTAGCAATATAGTAGATTAAATTAATAATAATATTGTATTATTACATACCATGATAAGTAGTCGGCAATTCTCAGTTTAAAATTTTTGTTAAATTTAACTAGAATATAATTTTCTTAGTATTACTTTTTAAGAATCCTTCAATTTTTTTTTTTTTTTGCAATATAAATGACAACTAAAAACATTCGGAACGTTTATTTATTGCAATGAATGATTCTCTTATGAATAATGCAAATTCCTTTATTACTAAACCAATAAATTTTTGACGGGTCTGTTTAAGCATACTATTGACTTTATGAGTAGGGTTAAAAGATCTACATTCCCCTCAAATGAATGATACATATTCTATTTAAAAAATTTATTATAAAATCTAAAAAAATTGAAGTCGTCACATCATTAATGATAAACTTATATTTACAACTAAAAAAAAAATCCGATGCTTTTCTTAAAAAAAAAAAAAAAAATCAAAAAAATCAAAAAAAAAATCAAAATCAAAATCAAAAAATCAAAAAATCAAAAATCAAAAATCAAAAATCAAAATCAAAATAAAAAATAAAAAAAAAAAAATAAAAAAAAAATAAAAATAAAAATCAAATTATAGTTACAAAAAATTTGGTGTGAAATAAATATATAAACTATTTATATGAATCGAATAAATCGATCTTTAGAACGGGAAAAAAAAAATAATGTTTCAATAAAATAAAATAAAGGTTTATATAATAATAATAATCTACAAAATTTGCCAAATCTTGCCAAATTCATTCTAATCCCGACCCAAAATTAAAAATAAGATCCCCAATTCCGTTATCACCACCTACGTCTCTATCACCACGTTGCAATTCAATCACGCTATTACTTGGTAATTCAATTTCATTATCACCATCTGGTGAAAAAAAGAAATTTCCTTCTTCACTTATAAAGTCTTCTGTATTTTGTTCGATCCCCTTAGTGAAAGTTTCAACTTCACTAAAAGTGGTTTCAGATGTATTTACCGAAGAAGAAGAAGAAGTGGATCTTGTAAACGATAGCGTATGTGGAGTAATTGTAGTGTTATTTGCTAAGTTATTTGGAGAAATATTGGTGTTGTTTAACTTGGATGATTTTGACACTGTCGATGACATATAAGGATTGGTATTGTTATTAGCAATTGTGGTAGGGATATTATTGGCAATATGAATGTGATATGCGTCCTCAAACGATAATGGTGTATTTGCTAATATATAAAGTCATAAATGTATTAAAGTTTATAATAAATCGGTTAAGAAATGTAATAAATAAGATAAAATTGTACTTACATAAGTCACCTGACATTGTATACGCCTGTCCGTTAGTGAAACCATTTGACGTACGATCTTTAGTTTTTGTGCTAACAGCACTCAACGTCGGGCTAGATGGTGAAAAATCGAGAGAAGTACGCATTGCTGATGATAAACTTTCAGAAATATCGCCCCCTTTACCAATAGCTTTACCGGCCTGAATAAGGACAGCCTTGCTTGTTCTACCTTGACCGCGGATTTCAAAATTGCTCTTTCCGTTATTTGCCCACCCATTTACCTCCAAAGAATTTTTATCACTGAAAACTTCATTTACCATTTCGACACGTTCAACTATGTCCCTTCGAATTTCAATTTTCTTCGAACGTGGTATTTCACCTTTACGAATGGTCTCCAAATGACCGGTTAAAAATGTTTGAAAGGTGAATTGAGGACTAGCCCACAAAGGTGGTGGCAATGAACTTTTAGAGCTGGTATGTGTGGAAATTTCAGCATTCGCTAACCATTTATTATTATTACCATCTCTTTTAGCCGATGTATCGGACTGTCTTGGTGCCTCAAAAACATTTTTAACCTCGGCCCAATTATTACCACGTAAAAGTTGCCACTCAGCAACATCTTCATAATTCGTAATCATATCTAAAGAGCCAGCTTCCTTTCTTGTGACTCCTGTAATACCCCTTCCCATCCCTACAACAGTCGTTGCCCCACCAACCAACACTCTACCAACATTTGCTACAGCAGCTGCACTACCAGCCAATGGTGTACCAGCCATTGTAATTAAATTGTTCAATTCTTGACTATCTCCTTGACGTGAGGAAGCATTTTGTTCTCCAACCACAACTCCTTCCATCCATATTCTATGCAAAGTTAAAACACCAGCTGGATGAAAACTTAATACATCCTGATATCCAATATCTTCTTGTTTAGATTCTAAATCTTCCACTTCAAGATACTGACGACCAGAATTATTGACAGCAGGCATATAATTCTGAGACCATGATCGAGTTCTTCTTCGTCCATTTTTATTATGAGAATTTGCAGATGTATTTCCATCATAATTAATTGATGTTCTTTTGGCTTGTCTTTTTGCTTTCAAATTAGCAAATAAAAGTCCATTATGATTATCCGCTAAACCAGTTTTAGAATTATCAGATAATGATGGAAGAAATTTAATGCACATTCCCGGTGGCTTTCTCATAAGATAGAAATGATTTATAGGAATGCCGTTAGGAAATGATAGATTTGATTGTCCATTAAGAGGATGATGAGAAGGCATATTATTAATATTATTATAATAAGGCAATGGACTGGGGCGACGTGAAGGACTAGTAGTTGTGGAAGAAGAATTTGATTCAGGAGGTGGGAATGAATAATATTCATGAGGATTCATAGGAAACATATTATTTAAATTTTGTGAAGATCCGCTAGCAGCTACTTCAATTGGATCCGGTGGTAAAGGAGTGCGCGGCTTAATTCGCACAACTGGAGATTGTGTATTTAAACTATACGGTTCGTCAACATTTTTGACTAAACCCGATATATGAGAGGGTATATGGGTTGGTCCTCCATAAGGATTTATTGCAAATATGTGAATCGTTCCTTTACCGCTAGCCACAGCACACCATCTAGAATCACCACTCCATCCAACGCCACCTTCACCTACACTAGCATAAGTATAACCTCGTGCTAATCTATACATATGTTTCATGCTTTTGTGATTTCTATCTCGGCGATGATTACCAAGGATCTCAAAAACATGAAATTTACTACCTTGAACAGAAGTTGAAAATAATAAGGTACCAGATGGATTAAATGATAATTGTCCAACGTGATGGTTATGAGGGGCAAAGTGTGCAACAATTGAAGGTTCTTTAGAACC